ATTGTTAAATGGCCTGAATCAGTTCTTATCTCACAATTTAAGCAGGGTTTAAAAGGCGAGATTAGAGTCCATATGGTTAGAGATTTATTTGATGAAGTGGAGGAAATGGCGAAGTTGGCAATCAAGATCAACAACGAAGTTAATGAAAGAAATCAAGAAATAACTCAACAGTCAAGATTCAATGCTCCTCCGATGACCTCTTCGACACCAAAGGATCCTGATGCGATGGACTGTTCAGCTTATAGGTTAAACATTACAAATGATGAGTACAAAAGAAGGAGTATGGCAGGAGTGTGTTATCAATGTGGGAAAAGTGATCACTACATAGGAGATTGTCCTGAGAGAAGAAGAAGAAGTACGAGAGGCAATTGGAGAGGAAGAGGAAGAGGGGGATTCAGGCCTAGATTAGCTGAAGTAGATGGAGTAAAAGAAGAAGAGAAGAGCGAAAGCAGGTCTGAATCGTCAAAAAATGGCGAAGCTCGAGAGTGCTAGTTGTGCCTCCCTCGAGCGGTATAGATTTAACATTAGAAAATAGTATCATTACTTCACTTGAAATAAAAGACACGAGAATTATTGAAACTGTTACTATCTTTGATGTTAAAAGTGCCACAACCATAAATGCGAGAGCTCTGATCGACAGCGGAGCAACTCATGAAGCCATCAGTAAAAGCTTCATCACAAAGAATCAATTGTACACTGAGCCTTTATCCCAAGTCAGAAGCGTCACTGGATTCAGTGGCCATGAGTCGAAGATTACTCACACTGGTGATTTCCATATCAATTCAAGCAATTCACCCCCAACGACCTTCATAGTAACTGAATTGAGAGACAAATATGACATCATATTAGGCATGCCATGGATCAAAGAAAATCATCATCTTATTGACTGGAAGAATAGCAAGCTGCAAAATGACAAACTCACCATTGCGGCTGCAGATGCAGTGTCGTCGAAACCGAAATCAGCCTCAAGGAGTCCAACGGAACTGCCAAAGGGGCAAGCTAGGAATTTCGACGAGGGGGTGGAGCCTAAAAACTCATTCACACCCCCGCAATGTGAGTGCGATTTTAAACTTTTAGACAAAATTGAAGAAGCAGCTGGCAAGCCAGAACACCTCCTAGAACGCCTAACAGAACCCGGAACATAGAAAGAAGAAAGAACCAAACCTGCAGCTGTCACATCTACAGCTTCGTCCACGCCGAAAAACCCCTCGAAGACCCAACTAGGATTGGAGCCTGAGAGGCACGCAAGGCACAGTGACAAGGGGGTTAAGTCTTGCAATGACTTGTTAAAACCCCCGCAGAGTACGTGTATACTTCCTCCTTGTAAAACTATGAAAGAACAAGCCAACAAGCGTCGACATCTTCCATTACAGATGTACTCAAGAAGTGCTCGGGCAATACCTTCATGGTCAAATCCTATCGCTACACGACTACGGCAATCGACATCTCCTCCCTCGGCAATGATAGACGCAGCAAAGACGTCGTGGAACCTATCTGCAAAATTGGCAGCGGAACAATCTAAGGACATCCCTCAAAAGAAAGCTTCTGAACTTGTCCCCGAATGCTATCACGAGTATTTGTACATGTTCGAAAAATCAAATTCAGACATCCTACCACCTCACAGACCGTACGACTTTCGAGTTGATTTGATTCCAGGCGCAACGCCTCAGGCTGGACGAGTGATACCTCTGTCGCCAAAGGAAAGCGAAGTGTTGGATGAAATGCTGACTAAAGGACTAGCAAATGGCACGATCCGACGAACAACTTCGCCTTGGGCAGCTCCGGTATTGTTTACGGGGAAGAAAGATGGTAATCTACGACCATGCTTTGATTACCGAAAATTGAATGCAGTAACGGTGAAAAATAAATACCCTCTTCCATTAACCATGGAATTGGTGGATAGCCTACTGGATGCCGACAGATACACAAGTCTCGATATGCGTAACGGGTACAACAACCTTCGAGTTAGAGAAGGAGACGAAGCAAAGTTGGCTTTTATTTGCAAGGCCGGAAAATTTGAGCCACTCACAATGCCCTTTGGTCCGACAGGAGCTCCTGGTTTCTTCCAATTTTTTATACAAGACATACTGAAAGGTCATATAGGAAGAAACGTAGCGGCATACCAGGATGACATACTCATTTATACAGGCCCGGGAGTTGATCACGAAGCAGTAGTAAAAGAAGTTCTTGATATATTGAAGGCACAAAATGTTTGGTTGAAACCCGAAAAGTGCAAATTTTCAAAACAGGAAATATCTTATTTGGGTTTAATTATTTCAAAGAATCAAATTAAAATGGATGCTAGTAAAGTCAAGGCCGTTAAAGACTAGCCAATTCCAAAAAATCTCTCAGAGGTCCAAACCTTTTTAGGATTTGCAAACTTTTATCGACGTTTCATCAATCAGTTTTCAAAGATTGCACAGCCGCTGCACGAGTTGTCAAGACTGGGTGTCGACTTCCAATGGACAGAAGGAAGAAATGAGGCATTTGAAACCCTGAAGACCGCTTTCACTACTGCCCCGATACTGAAAATAGCAAATCCTTACAAGCCGTTTGTGTTGGAATGCGATTGCTCCGACTACGCATTAGGAGCGGTCCTTTCTCAAGTATCAGAAGATGATGGTGAATTACACCCGGTTGCTTACTTATCAAGGTCATTAATACAGGCCGAGCGGAACTACGAGATCTTCGACAAAGAACTCCTCGCGGTAGTAGCAGCATTCAAAGAATGGCGCCAATATCTTGAGGGCAACCCAAACAGACTCAATGTTGTGGTATACACCGATCATAAAAATCTTCAATCACTAATGACAACAAAAGAGCTGACGAGAAGGCAAGCCAGGTGGGCTGAGACGTTAGGCACATTTGACTTCGAGATAAGATTCAGACCTGGAAGGCAATCAACTAAACCAGACGCATTGTCTCGACGACCGGACTTCGTACCACCAGAAGGCACCAAATTAACGTTTGGGCAATTATTGCAACCCGAGAATTTACCTTCAGATGTGTTCTTAGATGATTTGGAAATTGCAGATATGTGGTTTGAGAATGAAAACCAATTTGAGGAAAGCAGCGAAGATGTGATGGAAAATGAAAACGACAATGAGCTGAATGGCCTGATATTAAAAGACTCAGACATTATTGAATCAATCAAGAAGAAGACTCAAGACGATGAACACCTTCAAGAACTAATTCAGATTTGCAATGACATGCCAAAATCCAAACATATTAAAGATTATTGTACAGTGGATGGATTATTGTATTTCAGGAATAAAATAGTTGTTCCACAAGACACTAATTTGAAAGTTCAGATTTTACGATCCAGGCACGACAGCAAGCTGGCGGGCCACCCAGGACGAATGAGGACCTTAACACTCATCAAGCGGGCGTACCACTGGCCGTCGATGAAGGCGTTTGTCAACAAATACGTGGACGGCTGCCAATCATGCCAAAGGGTAAAAGCCAGGACTGAAAAGCCATATGGATTGTTGCAGCCTTTACCGATTCCAGAGGGCCCGTGGCTCGACATTTGTTACGATATGATAACTGACTTGCCTGAATCTGGAGGGTATGACTGCATCCTCACTGTAGTCGATAGATTAACGAAAATGGCCCATTTTATTGCCTGTAAAAAGAGCATGACATCAGACGAGCTTTCAAAGCTAATGATCAAAGAAGTGTGGCGACTACACGGAACACCAAGGACGATCACATCCGACAGAGGAAATATATTCATTTCGAGAATCACAAAAGACTTCCACAGACGATTAGGTATCAAGACGCAGTCTTCAACGGCTTATCACCCACAGACAGATGGGCAATCTGAGATCACGAATAAGGCAGTGGAACTCTTCATACGGCATTTTACATCGTACAAACAAGATGACTGGTTTGATTTACTGCCATTCGCGGAGTTTTCGTATAATAACAATGAACATGTTGCTATAGGCATATCACCATTTAAAGCTAACTACGGTTTTAATGTTAATTTCACAGACGTCGGGGCCAGCGAACAGTGTCTACCTTTAGTAGAGCATCGCATGGATCAAATCAAGACAGTTCAACGCGAACTAAAAGATACGATGAACTTAACGCAGGAGGAAGTGAAGAAGCAACATGATGCGAAAGTACGAGAGACACCAACGTGGGAAAGCGGTGACAAAGTTTGGCTAAATAGCAAGCACTTGTCGACATCCAGACCTACTGCTAAGTTCTCCCACCGCTGGCTAGGGCCTTTTGTAATCTCGTCACGTGTATCAACTAACGCCTACAGACTTAAGTTACCCAAGGCTATGAGCAAAACCCATCCAGTTTTCCATGTCAGTTTACTACGAAAATTCAACAAAAGTGAAGTAGAAGGTCAAGGAAAATCACCAATGCCGCCAATAATAATAAATAATGATGAAGAATTTGAAGTACACGAAATACTTGATAAAAGAAGAAAAGGTAATCAAATAGAATACTTAATCAATTGGAAGGGTTATGGAGAAGAGCATGATTCATGGGAACCATCAAGCAATCTTCAAAATGCGCAAGATATGGTGAAAGAATTTAATAAAAAGTATCCTCAAGCTGAAAATCGGTATAGAAGGGCACGGAGAAAGCAGTGAGGGCAAGGCTTTTTCCCAAGAGGTTTTTTAATGCCAGCCTGGGGAAAGATGCTGGCCTGCAAGAGGGGGTCGAGACATTAAAGGGGGAGTGATGTTATGACCTTAACCTTATAAGGCTTACTGAGAATATGTCTATACTGTACTTCTCTATATCTCTTGTATCGTGTCGAGTAGAGACTCTTCTCCTCACTTAGCAATCCAACTACCTTACAGGAACACCCTCTGCGCTCTCTTGCATCTCACTCACGTCCTGGTTCCTATCAACCTTCACCTTCATTCTTTTTTCCGGCTGGAAATATGATTATATATGAGCGAACATCTACCAGCTATGAGACAACAAAAACATGAACGTGCCTGTGCTTGTAATGTCAAATGCCAGCATTGCAAGGTTCACTTCCTATCCTCGATTACCTCATGACCAGGCTCTTCAACCATGATTTCAGCTATCTGATCTTCAACTTCCACAAAGTCATCTGCCGAGCCAAATGGTGTGTCGCCTGTGGGGTTTTTCTTCGCAATTCTAGCTATACCATTGTCAATGATTGTTTGTTCTTCACGTGTGGGCTGGCGCGAATAGATTACCCAGCTGGTGTTTGGTTGTGCACCCGATATAAGACCCATGTCTCGACCTAGCAGCTGTGCGCGACCATCGTCGAGCAGATCATTATAATAATACACTCCAGTGGCACCATCTAATGTTCGAACTACCTTGCACCAAAAATGCCCTTCTCCCCAAAACCCTCTTGAGACAATTTTGTAGTTGTTGCCATTAAATTCCAAACATTCAGGCCATTTCATATCGCCCATAAATTTATGCTTATCAGATTCCGCAAGGCCCATGACACCTGCAAGATGAAAGTACACATGCATAGGTGAACTGCTGAAGTCAAGGTGTGCACGTTCGTATAAAGTAGGTACATCTTTAGCGGGGTTTTCTTTGAGAACTTGAACTTCAATATCTTCATCAGACATCAGGGGAGATAATTGTTTTGGGTTTTCATTAAAACTCTTCTGAAAAGCTGTGCAGCATCGTGGATTTGTACTGAACAGCCCATCCGTGACCCACATTTGAATAAGTTCTTCAATACCTGAATACTTGAGATTTGCATCATGGAACATATCATTTGTGATAGATATTCCGTATTGGGTCACAATTTCATTTTGAATATGACTTGGGTACTGAGTACAACGGAACTCCTTGATGACTTGATGAGGAAACAATTTGGCAATAGGTGAGGCGGGTTTTCCCCTGGCTGGCACAAGAAAATAATCGATGAATAGATCGGCTGAGGCGAATCGGTCGGTTACAAATGAAGGTGAAAGCTGTTGAGCAGCCTTTTGAAGAGATGTTAGTCCCCGAGATAATATTGACCTCATCCCCTTTCCCCCGTGAATTTCTGACGAGACCCTTGCGGAATAGTGTCGGGTTAGTTTAGTCACGATGTCTGTTTTTTTTCCTGTAGAGCCTATTATCCAAAGAGGTGAAAAAAGAGGAAAGAAAGATTCCAAAGAAGCTGTTGCCCAGCAGCAGTTCTTTTTGCCGGTTTCATTGTTACAGGCCCAATAAGACTGGTAAGATGAATGAGGATCACGATGCACATTAGGCGCGCCGCGTGGTCGACCAAGCTTCTTTGTTCCAAACAACACTTTGTTAGTGTCTGGTGGTCGGCCATCATTTGCTTCCGGGCGCCTAGAAGCTCGTTGCTTGGACCAACCCATGGTTTCAACAACACTTTCCCAATTGTTCCCATACTTCACCGGAATACCTCGTAATAGCTGATCATAGTCTTTTTCCAGTGATTTTGCAAAGAGTAAAAGTTGAATCAGGCCCTGAAGCAGGGTACATTTTCCATCACTACGGTTCAAAAACCATCAGCTATGGATCACAACACATGATGACTGTAAAAAATAGACAAAAAACATACGTAAGTATGTAGTACTGTCTATGCATAGACTCTTGGCCATTTGTTGTTTCAGGTAGTTCATCTATTTCATTTCCACACTCATCATATCTTGGAGGATCATCAAGTGGAAGTCTCCGCCGGGCGCAGAAGAGCATTGCCTCGATATCAGCCGTATTCCACCAGGCGATCCAAGGTTTAGCCGCTGGGTAAGCCTTTGCCAGGCTTTCAAATCTTTGAGCAAGATTGAGCCCATTTGGTTTATCAGGCTCAAGGAGATTGAGTGCCATATCTTCAAATGTACCCTGAAACAAAGAAAAATGAGTAAAAATCCAAATGAGATACGGTGGAGTGACACCTACATTGTCACCTGCCGGCACGACCCCACGATTACGCGTGATGCGAGTGATAGATTGGCGGTAGTGCTCGCAGCACCCCTTTAGTTTTGACATGGCTTTGTCACGGTCTCGTTTGTTGAACACATCCATATAGGCACCAACAAATCCCTGCTTCTGCGCAGAAGAGAAGTCCACAACTTGTCAAACTAGCTGATCACATTCAAAAGCTGTTATGTCCGCATCACACATCTGTTTCATGAGCAGTGTGAAATGCCCTTTGTAGTGAGTTACATCAAGCCTAGCCATCCATGTAAGCTGAACGGGTATCCATCGGTGCAGAAGGTCACTGTACATTGACGTCGTCAGGAGATAGCCATTCTTGAAGAAACGGTAGGTAACGTCGGAAAGTAGGCCTCCAGAGTAAACCTTCTCTGTTTCAGGATCACGGCGCACTAACTGCTGAGCCATCCATTCGATTTGAAATGTAACATGTACATTAGATCCAGTTAGGGCCATTGAAATCAACCAAAGACCTTTACTGTTTCCATTACCAATGTCAAGCCAAGCTGTTGATGCGTGGTGAAGAATTTAAGTGGGACTTACGTGCCCCAGTGCTGGATATCTAAGGGAAAACTGTCTCCTCCACCCTTGCTCTCCTGCTCAGTCATGATACCCGTGTTGTACAGGATTGTACGTCGCAGATACCCTAGGCGACTACGATGTGAAAATGCTGGATGGAGATTATCAACTGAGGGTGTTATCTTCCGGCCTTCACCAGCCTGTCCAACCTAGCTCAGACACATAAATGGATAAATAGAAGATTATTCAGCTGATTTGATTGTATGAACAATCATGAAGAGAGGATTTCACCTGTAGTACCATTGGTCCAGCCTTTGGATTCTTGACAACTTCCGCTGTCAATTTCTCCATGGCTAATGGGTCCGCCTTCTTTGACACAGGCCAGACATGGCAGTGTGTGCCTGAATGTCGAAGAATAGCCCATCCCGTCTCTTTTTCAAGATCAACACGACAGCTGGTTGTGGTGCAAGTTGTCCAGCGGTGTTGACCCTGGCATTCAGCAGCGGGACACCTAGGGTGCCTACAGCAGTGAATGATGAACAATTCTCCGTCAGATTTTATGGAAAATGCCATCCAGTAAGGATATGTTGTAAGGATATGTCTTACTTCAAGATGTGTTCAGCTGCTTTCCTGTCACCTGTGGGTGGAGGTGCCGCGTACTTGCATGCTTTGTTATCGCAGTCCAAAAGTCCTAGACATGTGTACCAAGTTGTCTTCCAAGGTCTGTCGTCATTCGCGCCTGATGTCTTCTGAGTGTGTGGATAGGCTATATGCCCAAAATTCGTAATGTCTTCATTAGGCTTCTTAACAAAAACTGTTTCGTTGTTTGGATATATGGGATAGCCTTGAGCATCAGTCTCGCATCCAATATCGATGAATGTCTGATGTTTGCCGCTGGAGGGAACTGGAACTTTGAATCTCTTGCCGGTCTTTGTACGTTTACGACGTTTCTTCACTATAGGAGCTACAGGTGGTTGATCGTGAGGTAGATCTTGCAATATGGCCGGATCAAGTTGAGTCTGGGTCGTCTGAGGGGAGGCTTTCTCAGAAGACATTTAAAGAGGGTATTTGATTGATTTGTGAATTGATAGATAGGCCAGTTCAAGTAGGGATGTTTGCAAATAATGAAAAAAATTATGAGGGGGAACAAGAAAAGGGAAACAATACGAAAAGAGAAACAATTTGAAACACTTGACAAGTCTCTGTAAGTAAAAAAAATCCCTACAAATTGAACCACATGAACTCATCCCATCTTAGACTCAATTATGTTACCTTAGCCTAACTTGGCAAAGCTTCAATTATATAGGCACCTTTCTTTCCAGAATTACGTCTCAAAGGGATTGAGGTCCTTGAGACACTGGGGTTTGGCAGGTGCACTCGTTGTTCATCTCATTCAATTTAAAGAACAATGAAAAATGAGTGGGTATGTACGTCCACTTGTTCATTCATCCTCCCAATGGGTGAGGGTGGGAACTGAATATTGGGGATCCAACCGTTAGGTGGTGTGTAAAAGTCGTTGGAATTCGAGTGCACTGCATATTGGAGATCCGAACGTTAGGTGTAAAAGTCGTAAAAGTTCAGGTGCAAAATTGCATTTGAACTGTTACAATTCAGACTTTGACACCTCAGGCTTTTACACTAATAATGGAGTGCAAAGTGATGAGGTGTAAAATTCGATATGAGGTGTGTCGAATGTAATTTTGCACATATAGGAATTGCACTTCAGGATGAGGTGTAAAAGATGAGGTGCAAAAATGCATTTCATCGGTGGTGCAATAGAATTCTACACTACATAAAATACACTTGATTTTTTGCACTTTGAATTTTCGCCGAAATGCAGTGTAAAATTGTATCTGTACGGTTCCAGGTAGAATTTTACACTACAACCTTTTTACACTTCATATGTAGTGTAAAAGCTGTAGTGTAAAATTCTCTTGACCGTTAAGAAAACCCTTTGGGTAAACTTTGACAGCGGAATTGAAGTATTACATTGTAAATCTAAGATTCCCAATCACATTTCATTCAATGAAGTTTTTAATGACCAAACAGAAAAGCATGAATCATTTACACTTTGGATTAATTTAAGTTTATATAATCTCAATTCAAGACGTAAGAAACGTGATAAGAATTCGCTTATCATAAATGGAACGAACTGGAGGCAAGTCGATCATTCATCTGAAATTCAGGTTATTGACCAATTGTTGTTAATTTTACTTCATCATTCAAATGAAATAGGGAAGCAAAACATGAAATTAGTGTTTTTGGATACTTGGAAACTCTTGATCTTGATCATCCCACGGAATTGAAATATGAAACAGCTGATTTAACTTCAGTTAATCTTTCAGATCAAATTCTTACTCTTGGATCGCTTTCTGATCTCTTGGATTGCTTTCTGATCTGAGTTTAACAATTGATGTCGAGTTTTTGAATCATAATTTCAACTCTAAAGATTTGGACCTTGATTGTCTGAGATTTGAATGTGTATTTGATATTTGATAAAGGTATCTAAAGACTGAGAATGGTGATAATAAATTAAAATGATGGGTACGAATTGATCGGTAATCTGATTGGTTCAGTGTTGGTGCCTTTGGATCTTCTGATGTGACTCAGATACAGTGAGATCCAGAAACCAACTGAGTACAGTAAAGAGAGCAATCAAATTGGATCCATTGGACGGGAATGTCTCGGTCGAACGTAGATTGGTTGGGATTGCGCTAAATGAGAGGAAAGAGAATATGTTGCTACAAATGAATGATGCAAGAAAAGGAGCAATGAAGGTTAACAGCATGTGTAAGCAAGGTAAGAGGTTTTTTGCAGATTGATACATGAGCTGTTCAGTGGTAGTCCTGTAGTGTAGTAAATTATGTTGATGGGATATATCATCAGCATGGTGAATGAACGTGCATAAAAATGGAAACTCAAATGGGGTTTGAAAAGGATTATCTTTCTGAAAATATGTTAAAAGAGATACTGACGACATTAAGTTTGGATGATCAAAAAAGGAAATGGTGAATATGGATTGAAGCAGGCCAAGAGTATGTGTGTAGAAAGCTTTACTGTGTGGGAAAGCAATGTTGAATTGTAGGTTTATTGGTAATACATATCGGAATAAGATTAACTGATAGCTACTTGGGTAGGTATATGTGGGGTGTTTGATGATAGTGTTGTAAAGTAGGCAGTTGGATGTCATCGGCATTGTAAAGTTGACAGAGGTGCGCGACAGAGGGAGCCAAGAAGAAGGTCTGGAAATGGTAAAGTTTGGAGGGTCTCAAATGAACGGTTGAAGGTAGAACGAAAGAAGCTGAATATGTATTGCGTAAAAGTGATTAGTGGGAGTCGAGTAGAGAGTTTTACTAAGCGGGAAATCGAGATAGATTGGTACGTTCATTGATAAGCATATTAGATTGAGAGGGATGGCCGGCAATGGATAATGATGATTGTAATATTGAGCAGAGTGAATGCGAGTTGTTGAGGGATTAGTGAGATATATAGGAGCGAAACCAAAAAAAATGGAACAGAGGCCAAGAGTGGTAACTGGAGTACAAATACGAATCAAAATAAGCAAGTGTCAATCAAAAGACTGGTAGGAAGATGGTATGAATACAATTCGAATAAGGAAGTACTTAGCTAAATGCAACCAAAGACCAAAGGAGCCAACATCAAGAGGTTGAAGAGCAAGGCGGAATCATCAAGTATAAAAGGGGAGGTTGTATGCTCAGCAAATGAGACCCCACACCCCTCAACAGCAAACCAGGAAGTCGTCCTTACGACCATCGGTGGCTGAAACAGTAGGGGTGTAATGGTGGATGTATGTTTGTAGGCTCCGGCTTTCAAGCAGAAACTCAGCACTTATGTGTCTAGCCCTAAGGGGAGGCATAAATGCTGAGTTTTTGCTTGAAGGGGGGGTTTTTACGAATTTACATTTATTTAATTTGGCACGTTGGATTTTAGTTTGAGTGATAAAACTACGTTAATAATTCGATAAGGAAAACACTACAAATCTTCTACTAAGTTCTTATATACACATTATTCTCTTCTAACATCTATGTAGATAATTATCTCCATCACAACCATATTCCAATACTACACAACTATTTGTTTTTACATATTTGAATTCTTGTAACTTTCTTCGCTATTACATAATTTCTTTTACATATTTCATATCATTACAATAATAATCACCGTCCACCTATAATTCTCCCAAAGCTTCTTGATATCCCATTGAAAATCTGGAATCTAACAAAGATGAAGGAACTGGAAATTGAGGATATTTAACATGAAAGTTTAAAAGGAATAAATCTAAATCTGATGAAATGTCTGGTAAAGAAACCCAAGTGTCGTCCGAAACCGGTCTTCCTAACCAACATATTAAATATTCTGGAGGCGCTTTATTCTTCTTTCTATAATCTAAAATCCCAGAAACATGTCTCCAATCTCTTGAAGGTGCCACAGAATTTGAAACTGATTGATGAATTTTTGATTGCTGTCTTCCACCTAAATCCGGAGGAAAATAAGGAGATATGAGAGAAATATTGAACACAGGATGAAGTATAGAATATGCACTCCCCAAGTTTAGTCTGACCGCATTTGACCCCACCATCTCTATTACCGGAAAAGGACCAATCTTTTTAAAATCAAGTTTAGATGAAGGTCTAGCAGACGTGATATTTTGTCTTGATAACCACACAAGGTCCCCAGGAGAGTAAGATGGTGCTGGTCGTCGATGTTTATTATACATCTCAGCTTGAGCCATCTTTGCATGTTTTAATGACACGAGAAGATTTAATTGAACGGCTTCCAAATCTTCAATAAACTTGTCAGCATGAGGTACTCGAGAAAATTCTGTAAAACTATTCGCGCGAGGATGGAAACCCTGCCACGCAAAAAAAGGAGATAATTTTGTTGAAGATGAAACTGAATTATTAAAGCAAAATTCCGCCATTGGGAGTAAATCTACCCAATCATCCTGTCTGTAGCTAATAAAATGTCTGAGATATGTTTCTAAAGTTTGATTAGTCCTTTCCGTCTGCCCATTTGTCTGAGGATGAAAGGCAGTCGAGGGAGCAGGTTGAATTCGTAATTGCCGTTGTACCGCTGTCCAAAAAGCTGATACAAAAGTAGACCCTCTATCCGAGACGATTTTATCAGGATATCCATGATAACGAAAAAATTGAGAGACGAAAAGAGAAGCTAGTTGCGGAGCGGACATTGATTCCTTACACGGAATAAAATGTGCCCCTTTAGAAAAATGATCAGTGATGACTGAAATCAAATCGCAACCAGAGGAAACAGGCAATTTTACAATGAAATCTACTCCGATAGTGCTCCAAGGCCTATCAGGAATCTTTGACGGGATTAATTGCCCTTGTGCTGCCTGAGTGCTACGTTTCGCACGCTGACATGAATCGCAACTTTTAACGAAATCAATCACATCTTTTTGCAAAGTCTTCCAACCAAACGTACGAGTGATAGTGCTAACCATATGAGCCACTCCAGGATGCCCCATTGTTACGGAGTCATGAAAAGAAGAAAGTATGCGCTGACGAAGAGGTAAAGGAACAAATAAACGATCACGAAACCACCACAACCCTCCACGGAAAGTAAAAAGTGGAGGAGGAGTAGCAATCTCAAGACCCTCATAATCTTTATATGAATTAATGAGTAGGTCTCGAGTAGCTTGAGAAGGAATAATAAAAGAAGTATCAATAGAACACACCGAAACACCATTCTTAACCATATACGGTTTCAAAAGTGTCATTCTGTTAGAATCAGAATTCACATCCTCATAGTCAGGACGACGCGACAAAGGATCCGCAGGATTTATCTTCCCTGGGGTATGCAAGATTTGAAAGTGAAAAGAACTGAGGTATGATGCCCAACGAGCCTGTCGTGGGGTTAACTTTTGAGATGACATAAAATAACGAAGATTTGCATGATCTGAAAACACAGTTACCGCCGTAGGAGTTCCCGTTAACCAAGCCCTCCACTCCTCAAACGCTTCCACGATGATCCCAAGTTCTTGATCATGAACTTGCCAATTTCGTTTGGCCGGAGT